ATGAAGGATTAAGTCAGTTTCTAAAATTAAGTAATTTAATTTTGTGTGTTTAAGTGTTATGCCTGTATGTCTATAAATGTGGCCTTGTCATGCAGTGCCCACAGAGAACAGAAGAGGACGTCCAATGCCCTGGAACCGGAGTTATGGATAGTTGTTAGCTAGTTGCCATGTGGGTTCTGGGATTCAAAGCTGTGTTTTCTGCAAGAACAGTTGGTGCTCTTAACTGCTGAGCCATCTCTCCCATCTGGATTGTCAGTTTTAAGGTCTTTTGGGTTTATTTATTTTGTTTGTTTGTTTGTTTGTTTGTTTGTTTTGAGAAAAGTTCTCCCTGTAGCCCCAGCTGTCCTGGAACTCACTATGTAGACCAGGCTGGCCTTGAACTCATAGACATCTGCCCACCTCTGCCTCCCAAGTACACGGATTAAAGGCATGAGCCACCACACCCGGCTTAAGATCTTTTTGTGTTGGCTAAAAAAGAGCCCTGTATTCAAGATACATGCTACAATGTTCATGAATGGACTGACATGATGTCAGGGACTTGCTTCAAAATAATACTCATTGATGTAAACCTCGGCTAAAGGGATCAAGAAGCATGAGAGTGGAAGCTGGTGTGGCCAGGCGAGTCTCGGGACTCTCTAAATGAGGATTCTGCAGCAGACTGCAAAGGCAAGAGGAAGGGCAGGAGACTGGCAGAGCAGAGGCTTTGACACTGGCCCCTTTACAGCCCATCCACCTGGGCTGTGACCACTGGTGCAGGGGAGAAGCAGCTGGACTCAGATCTGGAAACGCTTCATATGGATCCTTGCTAGGAGCAGTGTCTATCATAAGTGGGCTCAAGCTGCCTCTCATCTACAAAACATGACTCAGTGAGCTCTGATGCTATAGATAAAGTGAAGTAGCAGTGCCTCGGCACATGGGACACTTTGCATCTACCGAACATTCTGATGTGACATCTAAATGAGTAAGGGTTCTTTCCCAGCCAGGTATTCCTCCCATCCTGTCAGAACAACGCGCTCTCAGAAAACTCAAGGTACTGAGGATGACTGCTCTAGAGGACACAGTGAGCACCCTCAGGTGTGCCTAAGGGAAAGGGAAGTGGGTGTGGGAAGGTGATCCAAGACCACAAGTGGACAGGAAGCAGCTGCTGGCCAGCTGCTGATTACCTCAGCAGAATGCATGAAGTAGTTGGATGGCAGTTTTTCCAAGGCAACTGGGAGACAGTAGGATCCAGTTTGAAGACGTTCATTTAGGAGAATCGGCAGCCACTGAAACAGATGATGTCGAGAGCAAAGCAGTTTTTATCGCAGCACAGGACTCTGGCAATTTATCTAGCTCATGGCAATCAAATGCAGCTAAACATCAATTAGATATTGACCAGGTCGCCTTCTGGAAGTAGTTTCTGTCCAGTTCTTTGCACTATAAATTTCCTGAGAGTTCTTGAGATGGGAGTATCAATGGTTTGCTGCTTCCAGAGCCCAAGTAGTAGCATTTTTCTTTATAGCCTGTGTGTGTATGTGTGTGTGTGTGTGTGTGTGTATACTCCAATATTTATTTTATCCTTAAAATTTTTTTAAAGGAATAACTTTTCCCCCTTGAGGAAAAGAGAGAATTCTATCCGTGAAGCACATATATTAAATTTGGAAATAACAGATATTGCAATGCCCTTTTCTTAAATTAATGAGCATTCTTTAAAGATTCACCAGCCACCAGCTTTCTTTCCATTTGTAGAATGTGCCGTTTGCTAGTCATTTCTGCTCTCTGCTGTCCCTTGGATGGCAATTTGGCAACTTCT